CATGTTCACTGACTGTATCCTAGGAGTTTATATTTGTAGCAATTCAAATTGCAAACCCGGGTAGTGTAATACGGTATTTGTCAAAAGACAGCAAAGCAACAATCTATGAATTAAGCTTAGAAGAAGAAGTCCTAGATATAGCTGTATCTGGATACGAAATACAGCCATGGGACCCTATTAATGGTGCCGGTGAGTAATGACACTGTGATGAATGTCAATTTTTGGTGGTGGTGATAAAAAATATGAACACGAGGAGAAAGAGAAGGAAATAGGAGAAGGTTTTTATTGTAATTGAATACTTCATTCCTTCATACTTCATATTTTTATTGGTTTTCCTCCCTTTATTCTACCAAATCAAGCAGGGTTTCGTCGCTTGCTTCTTTCATTAGCCTATATTTAACAAAATTATTGCAATACCTTTGATGAATATAAATAATTATTTGAAGGAGAAAAGACATAAAATATTGATAATAAAGATGACTGTAGTGATGATTATGAATATGATGAGAATAACAGACAATGAAAATAATATGGATGATAATGATGATAGTGATAATCATTGTAGTGATGTGGCAGTAATCGTTGTTGTTATGGTTACAATGATGATGGTGGTGATTTTATGGTCAGGTGATAATAATAATGATGATAATAATAATGATGCTACAGCTGCTGCTATTGTTGCTGCTGATGATGATGGCAGTGCTCGTAATAATGAATGAAATAATGATAAGATCATAAATGATGATGATGGTAATGATGATGATGATGGTGATCGTGATACTGATGCTGACGATATGATAGTGATAATAATGATTTAGATAACACATACTACTGTAGGCCTATACTTGTGTTTAAATGTTTAGCAACATCCGTGCTTTCAAATATATTTACCAGCATTTTTATTTTACTTAGTATGCTTAAACGCAGACCCACATTGCAATGAGTTTTGTGTTCATGACGGTAAGGGCGGTTATGAGTGTCTGTGCTCTGATAAATATTCCCTACATGCTGATGGTGTAAACTGCACATTTGGTAAGTAAATTAAAATGTATGCAAATGATAATGATGGCTGTGTTTAAATGTGGCTAGGGCTCAAAAGGACTTTTTCTAAATAGGAGTTCGAAATAATGTATGATTTTCAACGAGGCAATTTTAACGTTTCAATATATTGGGCATTAGTCCAGTGGTTACAGTTTTAACAGCCAAAAATGCACTGAGATAGTGATGGTCATAAGTATGTATTTATTTTAAAATATAAATTTTATAAAATAAAAATTCACGACCCAACAACCATAGTTTCTAATTGACAACACAACATTATCATATCAACCTCACCTCCAACATCATTACCATCATTACTAATAATATTCATCATTGTCGGTATCATCATCGATATTATTGTCAATATAATGCTATTTTTTTAAATTTTATTTTCAAATCAACTAGCCGAGACAAACAAATCTATAATAATTATAAGTTGACATCAATTATAATAAACTCCACATAAATTACACATAAAGCAAACACCACAAACAAATATTATAATAAATATAAAATATAACACAAAAATTACAAACACTTATTATTGATGAAAAATAATTTGTGTAAAAAGTGCTAGGCCTAATCAAATAGAAATGCCATTTAGTCATTGTTTTTTTTTCTAATATTGTTGTGTAAGTAATTAATGATGATTAATTAATTAATCATCATCTTCTTCTTCTTTTTCTTCTTCTTCTTCCAGAACTCATGACAAGGAAAATCTTTTTTTCTAATGCAATTGCTTAAATACACAAATTATGCAATTAAAATATGAATTTTTCATTGTTTTTCTTTTACTCATGATATAATATTCATGTTTAAACTATATAATTCTTAGAAAATATTATTGGTAAACTGTATGATTTATATAATTACGTAAAATTATGTTTTTACAGACAGCAGTGTAATTGAGCCGCCGTATTTCATATTCACAAGGCAAAATGAGATTTCGTTTATACCAGTGACATTGGTACATCAGGGTCAAGAGGTCAGTAACGGTATTGATAGGATTCACACACTACTTAGTGACTCAGAATCCCCGCTTGCCCTCGCTATAGACTTCAAAGATAAGCTCTTGTTTTATTCGGATCGGATTGAAAAGTCTATCAAAGTTGTAAGAATTGCTGAAGGTGAACTACCAGAGGTGTTATTTCAACGAATAGGGCAGGTTGAAGGTGAGATAATAAAATTATTTTATACATTTTATAGAAATTAGACAATGTTAATACAATGATAATAATGTCAGTAATCTCTAAATCTTTATTTACCCATAGTTATTTTATTTCAACAATCATTAATGAGGGTGGTCCATCCAGTCGAAGCTGATCATTAGGGACCCTCAATACACATCAGTAAACAAGACAAAAAAGTGTATGAAACTAGTACTTAATAAATAGTAATATAAATACAGTTAGACTACTGTAAGTAGCCCTAATGAAATAATCAAACAAGAAAAAATAAATAAAAAGATATACAGATGGGAAAAAAGAAAACAACTTTCAATTCTTAATTTACAAAATTAATTAATTCAACATAATATACAAAAAGAATATAAATTAATAAAGAAAATCTATAAATAATTTACAATTAAAGATGTAAATTAATCAGACAGGATCAAATAACAATTTAAATATGCCAAAGAAACAGTACTACTGACAAAGATATAAATAAGTTTAGAATATAGTAGCTCTATTAATCAAATAATCAAATAAAATATATAATATACGGTAATACATATGAGGGAAAAAACTATTCATCATATAATTCTTACGGTAACTTACAGAAAATGAATTAAACCAATATAATAAACAAAACTGAAAATAGATAATGGAAGAAAAATCTAATGAATTTACAATGAAAGATGCAAATTTAAATAACAATTAAAATAGGTCGAAGATACAATATTAAAAGAGGAAAAAATGGAGCTAGCTTTTGAGGGACGATTTAAAGGAGGAGTAAGTTGTAGTTGCATTGTGGGTATCTAAGGGAAGATAACAGTGGTGGCGCCAGAGGGGGCTGGGGGCTATAGCCTCCCCCCCCCCACCCGTCGGGGAAGTCGATGAATTTTGTCGGGGAACAAACAAATTAAAAAATATATTTACATGTAATATTCGTTTAGCCACCATATCGTTTGTGTTAACTTTTCATCAAAACAACAACAACAGTAATAATAATAATAATAATAATAATAATAATAATTCAATGAGACTAATTAAAAATAATTTGCGATCTGTTATGACAAATGCTCATTTAGATAGCCTCATGATGGTTGAAATACATCGTGATAGGTGAAGCAACCTCGACCATGACAACGTGGTTGACAGATTTCATGCAAAATTTCCAAAATATAGAATTTCACTTTCAAGAATGAGGATTTGAAAATAAATTAGATGGTTACATTGCATACTCTTTGTTTTGCTTTGTTCAAAATGTTTTGGTTTTTTTAAGATGATTTCAACATTAAAAAGCATAGCCTGCATGAAGTCATTTTATAGTAACTCGATGCCTATCAAATAAGTAATAAAAATTCGCCATAATTCATCAAATATCGTGGCTTCCGAGAATATTTTGTTAAATAAACATTCACTATTGAACTTCTGTGCAAACATTACATTACATTAAAATTATTTATGCGTCGATTAATTAACAAATAAATTATTTTCTTGCTCTAATTAAAATTCTAAAACCAGTAGCATACATTATTTTAATATACAAGTTAGCCAATCTAAATACTAAGCTTTGTTAACTTAGGCACAGGCAGCCTTGACGAGAACAACAGCTCTTTTAAGGTTAACAGGTACATGTAGGCCTGAATGTTAACATGCAAGCTGGTTTTTTTTCGCGCTTTGTTGACGATGATTATTATATGCGGCCTTTCTTTTTGTTGTTGTGAAACAGTCGTGAAGTCATGGTCTATTCAGATTCAAATTCAGAATCAGATTATATAGAGGGAAGCCATATTATGAAACATATTTACAAACCTAATGATTTAGAAGCAGAGGTGGTGCCAGGATTTGCCCGACGGGGTGTCCGAATTCCATGATTGGTGAGGGGGGGGGGTGGGGGGGGGGGGGCAGATGTCCCCGACGAAAAAAGGTGGACGTGGGCGAGCTTACTAATATGTAGAAAATACATATACATTTTTTTCTCCCCGACGATTTGTGGTTTTTTCTTCCCGACAGAGGGGGAGTGGTGGGAGAAGCTCTCCCAGACGGGACCAGAGGCTCCCACTTGCGACACCCCTGATTAGAAGTAAGCACATGAAATAAAATATTGGGAGGTATTCGCTAATTATGATCATGTCAATTGATCGTGTACAAATTTATGAGCAGCATAAATCGCATAACGAGTTTGTAAGCTTAACATTATTCTAAAAATGTTGTTTTAACGAAGTGCCGACAGGGCTACTGTACCTAATGATATACGTTACTAAGCCGAATTTATGAATGTAATTGCCTTAATAAACGGACAGTGGATGATTATACTATGATTAACAAAATTTGATAGGCCTATTAATTATAATTAGTTTTATTGCCTATCTCCAAAAGGTTTAGCAGTCGATTGGCTGGCTAAAAATATTTATTGGACTGACTACGAATTTAACCACATTGTAGTTTGCACGTATGACTCACGCTCTATGCGAGAATTGTTTAATACTGACGTCATCAAACCAAGAAGTATTGCAATTGATCCTTTTGAAAAGTAGGTGTTATATCGTCAATATTATTATTTTTTCGTAATCATTATAATAATCATTATTATTATTTTATTTCTATTGTTTATATTATTTTAATTTAGTATTATCCATATAATTACTGAATTAATATATTATTATTTTTATTATCATTATCATTATTATTATTATTATTATTATTATCATTATTATTATTATTATTATTATTATTATTATTATTATTATTATTATTGTATATATTTTTATTGTTAAGAAAATTATGCTTTCGACTGTTTTGTAACCCAAGGTAATGCTTTTTATTTCTCTAAACTTACTCTGTCAATTATTTATAACAATTTAACAGACTACTGTTTTGGAGTGAGTTAGGCCCACCTGGCCAGATAGAATCTTCAAACTTAGACGGAAGCAATAGAAACGTAATAAATGATGTTGCTGACCAACCTAGCGGCCTAGCTGTCGACCTTAACGAACAGAGGTAGGCCTAAGTATTACTTAGTTTCATGATGAAAAAATATACGAAATTATGTGTTAACTTAGACTAGCGCTGTTTAACACATAATAAGAAGGCGGATTCAGTTCCCCTGCAATTTATCGGATTCAAATTTTATGCTAAATTTCAGTATACCCAGTTAGAGCGTTCATAATTTAAAAAGATTTAATCCCGGTTCCAACTTATTCCTCTTCTTTAAAGTTTAAATTTACATGAAAGAAATAAACCTTCAAAATTATTGTAGTCTTTTACTAATATAGAATGGCGAGGAATCATATAGCCTATCGTAATAAGGTGTACCTGTAGGTTCACGTTTTAACAATCATAACATAAATCATTGTGTAGGCCTATCTGAAAAGACTCGATTGGAGATGTCTTATCGCTTCAAAAGTTTGAAAGCGGGGGGCGTATTAAAGTTGATCTCAGTCAGTTATTTACAGTACGTCGAAAGCTATTACCGTACTACTCAGCGCATGTGCAAAATGTGACGTTCGAATTCCCAACCAAATCCAACTACTTATATACATCCATATAGACAAAAGATATTTTTTAAACATAACTTTAGACCTTTGTAATTTTTACATTTGATTTTGTCCTAGAAACAAGTTCAATATTTAGGTCCACTTAAGTGTAAAAAGTAGGCCTCTGACTGCAAATTAATCTTGAAATTATATATGATTGTATTTCAGTTATCTCTAATGTATCAGGATGTAGTTAACTTTATTTGTGATTATTTTCATTAACACACTCTACTTTTGTTGCAGAGTTTATTTCGCTGATAGAAACGATGGTAGAATACATTATATGAATTACGATGGTTCCAAACTGAACACATTTTACACACATCCGGAAAACAGCTATTTGAACTTTTTTGATATTACGTTATATCAGGTATTAACAGTGTATGTTTGAAGATACTCCATGGCCTATGAAAGAATGACAGAAAGAATAAAATATACAATAAAATATAATGCGTAGAAGTCTGATGACCTGTCGTGATTGATGGTTTACGTTTCATCTGCAATCTTCCACCAAAATCAACTTGCGTCCTTTTAATAATTTAGCTCTTCTTCTACTTATGCCACGTGAATATTGTTTACAGTTGTCTTTGTATATTAAACGACTGATTGTGGTACAGGCCAAATAAAAACTAATTAAATATTGCACTTGGTCATTGATCCAATATTAACTCCAAAATTTACATTTACTCATTTATTTTTTAAAACTTAAAATATATAAAAATACACACTCATTAAAATACTAACAAAGCGAATTTATTTTATACTCATCATACAAAATAGGTAATTGCAGAAAACACTGACATACAATGTTTTGGATTAAAACGAACAGAAATAATGAAACCAAGAACCAGCTATTCTCAAAGGAAGAAAACTATTGAAGAAGTGACTTTCTAGTTTAGAATAGACATGACAAAGACAGTGGTGGCGTCGGGGAGAAAAAAAAATTGTTTGTGTTTTCTATATATTGGTAGACTATAAAATCGATTAAATAAGCCCTCGGGAAAACCTGACCCCTCGTCGGGCATCGGCCCCCTCGTCAGGGACCTCGGCCCCCCTTCGGGCAAACACTGACGCCACTCCTGGACAGAGACAGGCGACCTCGGCATAGGAAAGAGCCAACACAATTACCCTTAATAACTTAATAATATACATCTTGTTTTTTAGGATTTCATTTTTTGGACAGAGTCGACAGACGGAGATCGTAACGGAATATATGTTGTGTCTAATGAAAATGGAAATGAAATTCTTGGGAATCTCCCAGAGAGCTCCACTATTTATTCTATTGAAACCTACGATGAATCCGTCCAACCTTCGAATGACAGTAAGTCAGAGATATTTCTGATAATATAATTTGCATAATACTATTAGATAGACAGAATCTCTCCCAATATGCTTATTTTATATTATTTTAAGTTAACGTCAGTATACCTTAGTTAACCGATGAAGTTTGCCGAAAACGGTCAAAAAGTCTTAACATTGGGTAAATCAATTTGCTTGCATGCTTACTTACTTGCTTAAGGATGGTGGTGTCTTTGAAATGATGGTTTTTCACAAGTTTGTCTCCCATTGCTGTTTTGAGGTCTTCTTCGTCCATCCCGGTGCCTGCTTTAAGGATATCAAGTCTGATATCAAGTTCGTCTGTATTTGAATCAATTTGGTTAAACAAACAAAAAAGTAATTTTAACATGACTATTGATAATGGTAACCAGATGAATTTCTTCCATGATAGTATTTAAGCAATTAAATTCGAAACTTTTTAGACAGAAAAAAATAAGCCTGTATGTTTCAGATTATATTACTTTCTGCCGTGTTGTTGACCGAGCATAATGTAAACTAACTCGTGAAATGATAAAATATAACTTGTAATTAAATCGTCGCTTTATTAAGTAAGTAAATATAATTGTAACAAAATTACCCCTCCATTGTAACAGCTCTTTTGGGCAATAGGTTTAATTAATGGAACAGTCCTGAATTACTTACAGTAGTGATTGGTCCGTCAGTCTAATTGGCTGATGGTGTCCATATATAAGTGCTAGTCTGGGAATAAATCATTCCCTATCCCTTGGCTGCCAGCGCTATCTGCTGCTCCCAAGATAGGCTGGGCCTTCTCACCCCCTCCTCGTGCTTTCTTCCGTGTTTGTTTGAAATGTGTTTTCGTTTTGAAATTCTGTGTGAGTTGCCTTTTTGAATCTTGTATATTATTGTTTTCAACACTGTTTATGAGAATTCTTCTCGTGTCTTTGAATGTTTTCCCTTAAATTGAATAGGTTTTTTATCTGTAATTTTCTGCTGTTATTATTATTATTATTATTATTATTATTATTATTATTATTATTATTATTAATATTATTATCATCATTATTATTGATAATATTTATTATTATTATTATTATTATTATTATTATTATTAATATTATTATCATCATTATTATTGATAATATTTATTGTGATGAATTTATTGTTAATATTTTAATTTTTATATAATTATTGTTGTTGATTAATGAACCACGGACTCAAGGAAGAACAACTTTTTACAATTTCCTTTTTGATATTGTATTTTCTATGTTGAATTTTTTTTTGCGGCGGGTGGGGGTTAAGTCAACGGAAGCTCGGACAGGTTCAAGAACGTTACAATATATATAATATAATTTTATTAGGTGTATGTAATCAAGAGGGAAACAATGGATGTTCTCGTCTATGTTTGACGTCATTACTAAACGAAACTTCTTGCGCCTGTTCAGATGGCTTCGTAATTGATGACAGTGATTACACCCAATGCAAACCTGGTATGTTAAATAAACCAAAAAAAAGTAATATTATTTACAATACTAATAATAACAACAATAAAAATATTGATAATGATGAGGATGATGATGATGATGATAATGATGATGATGATGATGATGATGATGAATAACAACACTGATAATAACAACTATAAAAATAATGATAATAATGATGATAAGGAAAATGTTATACTCATGAAGATAAAATTTATGAATTTGATGATAATAATTATAAGGGTGATGATATTAATTATAATATTAATAATAATATGCATAAAACTAAGTTGTAATAATAGCAACAAAAATGTATATTATTTGTACGATGAATTACCATTATTATACATATATCTTTATATTTATCAGAATCATCGATACTGCAGGATGACTTCTATTTGATTGCTGACCAGGAGAAACATAGTATATTTCAAATGAATGCAAAAGAACCGTTTAAATACATCGGTTTGAACATCGGAATCGTTGGGGATCCTGTAGATATTACATATGATCCAATCGAGAGAAGATTGTATTGGGTTGACGCAGAGTTCCCTGCCATTCGCCGATCCTCATTAGATGGCACTAACGTCGAAAGTGTCATCAAAGACGAGAACATTGTCTGTAAGTTGTATGTGTTTCATTATCCTAATAAAAAAACTGATATTTTAATTTGTATATTGTCCATGTATTTGCATTTTGCCAAAAGCAAGCCCAGTTCTTCAGGCCCGTAATCAGGAGGGTTTCTCTGGTTCGACCGAACCCACTTTTCAAGCAACCCCTTTTTCTTGATAAACCAAATCATACTCTCCCCTGCATAACAATTGAAGTATAGTTGAACATTTACATACCATAGTGCTTGGTTTCAAAAGGTTTTTTCCCCTAACCTGACAAGGAGCTATCTTCTGGCCGATCACGACCACGAGGCGCCCTGACTCTCATATAAAGTCTTCCTTAAAAAAACTCTTGGTTGTGAGGGTACTATTTTTCAATTGTGCAGATACAAATGCATTGACATTACGTGCATTCGTATTGCAAACACGTATAATTCTACACACTAATAAGTGTGCTGAGCATTTTTGTAATCATTAGCAACGATTTTGTACGCCTGCATGGTTAATTGACGTGTCCCCAAACCATGGTACACTAATAACATCACTATTGTAATATTTAGCCTAATATGAGAAAACTATATACAAAACCGAAATGGTTTTACGAAAAGTTAAAAAAAAGCCTTAATTTCAGCAATTGTATCTTAAGTGATAGCCGTGTCTCTTTTTGTGTTAAGCGCCAATGGGTGTTGCTGTAGACTACGTCATACGCCTGATGTTTTGGACAGATTCTGCGCTAAGAAAGATTGAAGTATCGTATCTAGATGGCACTGTCAGATATTCTTTAATTACTACAGGAAGTGAAGAGCCACGTGATATAGTAGTTGACCCCATTGGAAGGTCATTATATTATATATTTTTTATCAACCAATCACCAATTATTATTTAGTACTCAGTTAAATTTATTTTCATATATTTTTCTTTATTGAAAAAAAAAACTTGGCCGAGATTGAACCATGCAAAATATGATGTAATTATACCGTCTTTTCTTTCACACAGCTAGTCTTCGCTTTGTCACTGCTAACTACGTAACAATAGATTCTTTGTTAAAAATCGTAGTCTCAACAATATCTGTTATTTTCAACGTTAACACGTGTAGGCCTACAGATAATTTTTTTATCACTTTGACATTTTAGCCGGATATTTTGGTCAGTGCATGGGAACAATCCGGCAATAAGAACGGCTTATATGGATGGTGGTAGTGAACGAAAATTACCAATATCTGAATTGGTTAGTAAACCTTCAGGGCTTGTTATAAATTTTAAAGGTTAGCATTCTTTTTTTTACTGATTTATTCTTATTACTACATTCTCAGAAGTAAAACAGTATGGGCGTCAAGTTGATGGATCGTTTTTGATTCGTACTTCCGAGTAAAAAAAAAGATTTCAACCATTGTTTCCTTGCAGTGATATACATATTTTTAAGATAAAAAATGTCACTTTATCAGCAAAAACCACAATAATAAGACCAATGTCACTATTTTGGTTTATGGCAGAGGGTAGATTATACTGGTGTGATGAGACTAATGGGGTAATCGAGAGTATTAATCTTGATGGAACTGATTCCAAAATGTACATTGAACTTCCACCACCTTCGCAACCAAGAAGTGCAACATTAAGGTTTGATGACGTTGTGTGGAGTGACAATATGGAAACTTCATTAAGACACGTAGATAGCGAAAGTGGAGAGGCAAGCAGTATTGATGACAATCACTTTGGGAAAATGTCTTCCATCCATCATCATGCATCAATATCAAGTTTACAAGGTACAGACGACTATTCAGTTGTATTATTGATTTTGTTGTGTTGTTTTTGTCTTTCTCTTGTTGATTGGTTACATCTCGTTATGATATTTTATTTATTTATTATTTTAGTAACATTATTATTTTATAGTACAATTATTTATCATCACAATTCTAGTAATTAACTGCATATTTTCTTTCTTCAAATACTTTAATTTATCATTATCTCGGTTTACGATAAAATGGTGCCTATTTGTCCCATCAGTCATTACTAAGAAGGCTTTTTAATTATATTCTCATATACCTCTGCAGTAACTGACGTTGACAGCAATGAGTGTCTTGATGACAATGGAGGTTGTAGTCATATTTGCCTTCCTGGTCAGGTAGTAGGACAGGTGGTGTGTACATGCC